ATAGGAGTGGACACTTTTACAAGAACAGATTTTGTCTGTCTTCATTTCATAGAACAAAAAAGAGACAGAGAGAGAAATAAACATTCTTAGAAGTGAATTAAATTAAAAATAAATAGAAAATTTAAAGTGGATCTCTACAGTTATAAAAGAAAAAAAAAGAACATGTCGTGTCATGATTATATTTCTTTGATAGATGAATTGAAAATAAAAATCTTTAACATTTAAAAATAAAATCAGATGTGTCTCGACCGGGAAAAAGATGAATTTATTCGTTTTTCTACAATATTGTTTTGTTCTTTTTTATTAATCAATTCTTGAAAAACAAAATGTCAATCTTTCTTTTCAATCTCAACGATTGACACTCGATGGAAGTGAAAGGTTAGATTTTATCGAACGACTTGAGTAAAACCTTGAATAAAAAATATATATACTATTATTTTAAATCATCGAATAACAAGAGTGACATTTCAAGACTAATTCTTTTAATGTCTCACATCAATTGAAAAATTATTTATCGTTATTGTTTTTTCTTGTTCTCTTACAGTCACACATGTAATTGTATATTTGATCTTGTCACAACATATTTTCAAACACCTTTATTCAATTAAGCTCACGGCTTTGCTTATAGTCGTCGGCTTTAGTTATTTAGTAGTTGAATTGAAATACTGAGGAATAAAAAAAAAGGGTGATACATAAAATAACACCTTATGGTCGATCATTCGACCGTAATAGTCAATGTGTGACATTAACTACAAATATAGGCGATCAGTAGACATTAAAAGAAAAAATAAAATAAAATACAGGTGACTTATGACCTCGATTGCAATCACCTGTTCTATAAATATCAATTTAATATTGGGCAAAATCAATATCATCAAAGACACAATATATGAAAAAAAAACTAGAAACATAATGTATGTCTATCTCATGATCATCATCCATTGAACATTTGTGTAAGCACGAGCGAGTCTATCGATCGATCGATCGATTATTATTATTATTATTATTAAAACAAGCATCTTCAAAGTGTCAATCCGATCTGTATTGTGCATACACGTTGTGTAAAGAAACATGATGATGTCGATAATGATGAGAAAATTATTTTCTTTCAAATAAAAGGAAAAAAACACACACACACACATAGAAGAGATGTAACGTTGATTTTTCTGATTTGCATATCATAAACATATGTAATGAAGAGAACAAGAGAAAGAGCGTTAAGAAGAACAAGTATTGATTGACTGATCAATCAATTTATTTTTGTGATGATGATATATATATATACAGTTTTGTCACATGATTATTACATGAAGAAAAAAAAAGAACGGAAATAGAAAACGTAATTTTCAAAGAAATTGAATTTTTAAATTTTTCTTTTTTTTTTTCTTGTGTTACTAAATTGAAACTGCCAATCGTTTTGCTCTATCTTTTTTGTTTTTTTTTACACCAATCGAGTGAATATACATGTGTGTGTTTGATGAAGGAGAAAAGGAGAGAATGTGCGTAAAATGTCAATTATCTGCTCTTTCTCTTTCTCTTTTTTTTTCTCTTTTATATGTCGTTGCAAATGAAAGAAATCCCACTTGTCATAGTAGAGAATAAAGAAAAAAAAAGAACAATAATAAAACAAGACGTAAGAGTAAGAAGAAAAAAAAAGACAATTTTATGTTGTAAATCCACTATTCTTTAAAATATTCTATTTGATTGACCGATTCATTTTCTATTTAACAAAAAAACAAAAAGAAAAATAACAATGACAAAACAACGACGTTCATTTTTCGTCGATGATATCTTACATATGGTGATGCCAATTAATAAAACTATTCATTGTTCAAATGATAATAATGATTTAAAACGTAAACAATCAATAAATTCAGAAGATGGTAATAGAGATGAACATGAACAAAAATCAAATAAAAAATTTCGATTTAAAAATTATGAAAATAATAATAATAATAATAATGATGATGATGATAGTAAAAAAGAAGATGACAATGACGAATCAAATTATTCTCATATAGTTGATATGATAAGAAATGGTAATACGGCTGAAGAAGAATCTTGTTTAAGTGACAATAGTAATAACGTTGATAACAACAGTGGTAAGTTAAACAATATAATAATCAATACAAAAGTCAAACAAAGAATTATTTTCAGTCGAATTTCATTTTTTGTTCATACTTTGGCCAACTTACTAGAAAACATTCAACTGTCGAACATCATTCGACTTCATATTATGCCTACGAAAGTAGGTCTCAGTGAGAATAAGACAATTCTAAAAAAAAAACACAAAATAAAGAATCACAATCTGAAATTTTGCCTATAGGTATGTTTGATAGTCGTTAGATAGACTTGAAAGTTTCAACAACAAAGAACATGTCTTTCTTCAGATACTTGATATCCATAAAAATAGCTGTTTATCGTAAGCAGACACAATAATGAAGTCGACTTCCAAATCAAACTTCTCATGTTCATTTGCGTTGCAACTTTTGGAACTATCTAATTACTATCACACATGCGTATAGGCAAAATTTTCAGATTGAAACACTTTTTCTTTTCGGTAAGCTTGTTTTGATCACATCGAAATCTACTATCTCACAGCTAATAATATGAAGTCGAATGATGTCAGACAGTTGAGTATGTTCTCTCATTAATATTTTTCCTAATTCGGTACATTCCTAATTAAATTCTTATTTAAGAACTTGTTTAGTGAAGCAGAATGAAAAAAAAACGAAGCCTGATGAATAAGTAGCGACATCAATAGCGAACATAACAATTAGATCGATGTTTGCTAGACATCTTCTAACATATTCTCGATTTTAACTATTATCCTCATAAAATTTGATTGAAAGATTTTCGAATAACACTATTAGTAGATATTTGTGTGTATTTTGTTATTGATTTTTTATTCTAAATAGATGATGAACTATGTGCATCAAGTTCTTATTTAACAGCAATTAATTTACGACAAAATAAAAAACAACGTAAACCACGAACAGCTTTTACTGATGCTCAATTAAATACATTAGAGAAAAGTTTTGAACGACAAAAATATTTAAGTGTACAAGAACGTTTAGAACTTGCTAATCGTCTTCATTTATCGGATACACAAGTAAAAACATGGTATCAAAATCGAAGGTTAGTTTTCTATGTCTTTGTAATTGATTTTACCATGTTAATATAATTAGAACAAAATGGAAACGACAAGCATGTCTTGGTCTTGAATTATTTACTGGTAATACATTACAACGATGGATAGAACGACAACCACATTTATTTGCTGCTGCCGCTGCTGCTGCTGCCTATCGATCATCATCAGATGCAACTAATCCTATCGGTCAATTTGGTCAAACTTTTTTAAATGACAGCAAATTAACAATAGCTACTAATTCTAATAATCATAGATTTTCTCCTATGAGTCTAAATTTACATCGTCAAGAATAAATAATATATATATACATATACATGAACAAAACTATAATTATATTATTGGAAGAATTTGACAGAAGTTCTTTGAACATTTGATTTTATACGTAAAATTTTTTGTCTGTGCCATATCTATTTGGATTGATGTTTCTTTTTAATCAAATATGATTTGTTTTTTTTTGCTTTAAACATATTTCATGTAAAGATTTATTAAACTGTGTGTGTACAAAAAGAAAATACATTTAATTTTTTCAAGTGTAAGGATTTTATTTGAAAAATTTCAAACATTTTATCTTCACATAAAATATTTCTATAAATTTTGAATTATTTTCGATTTTATTTTTGATTAAAGACTATCAGACGATCTATTCTTTCAAACTAATTATATTTTATAGAAACAAAATTCGTTTAGATTTTGTCATTACAATGATAACTTTCGTTTGAAGATACACCCTTTCGAAGATTTTTGAAGAACGAATCATTAGAAAAATGTGAAACTTTCAGGACATATAGGTTTCGAAGAGCAGAACAAAAGTTGTACTAGACTCAAAGATCTTGAATATTGTTTTCTATGAAATATTAGACTCACAATGCGTTACAATTTTTGCCTATAGTAGACCCATTTGGAGTCAGGTTTTCTACTAGGATAAATTTTAATGTAAAGAAAAGTTTCAGCTCAAGTTCTTTTACTGTATTGGAGAAATGGAGGGGACATAGTACTTTTTGTATAAGATTTGACTTTATGAAAAAATAAAAAAGCAAATTGCTTGATTGGATATCTCGAACTGAAGTTGAACAATGTCTTACGCTTGTCAACATGCATCTCTAACATGATCATACGTTATAACTATAGATAAAGGGAAGGTCTCGAAACTGTTCCTCTTCGAGTTCAAAACACCCTTGAAATAATTGTTGTTTTCAAATCTATAGAGAACACTTCAAAGTATATATATATCAATGACAAAAGCAGAAAAAAAAACGAAAAAATTCTTTAATATTCAATATAAAATACAAATCAATATATTTATCAACTGTAAGTTTCACATAATTTGTTTTTTTAACGTGAAATTTTAGTTTTAACATGTGAGTCAACAAAGCAGTTATATGTTTATATGTAGTCAATCGATATTTCGATAATTTAACTTATTCTCGTAGATTTCAACACAAAAAAAACAAGGATACGTAGATGCCTTATTAGAAATCTCTATTATTTGAAGAAACTGCGAGAAAAAAATAAAGAAAAATATGTTTCAACATGTTATTTTGACAAGCATGTATGGTGTTTCTCTGCTATATTCGACTATCAATGTTTAAGTCGAAGAAACCATTATACACATATGAAGACATCTATTGATTCATTCAATCTTTATTCGAATATCAGAACAAATCTTTTTGTTTTCATAAGAAAAACGAGATATGATATAGTTCGAACATTATTGACAAGAAACATCATGCTGTATTCTGATAATAAAAATAAACAATTAAAAACCTAGTAGAGTTATCAAAAGTGACATTTGTTTTGTTTTCATGTATCAATAATGTTGCCGAGCTGCAATGATTTCTGGTTCTAAGTATCATTTGTGATCTTTGAGACGAATGAGTAGACGATAAGGTATAACGGATGAACGTCGATTCGTAAAATGTTCTATAGATTCATTTGGGATAATGTTACAGATAGGTTTATCATCCCATCCGACTGTTTCGCCTTGAACGTTAAATGTATTAGGCTTTTGTTTGCATTGAAGTACTATTTGTACATTATAATGTTTACCTGTTTTTGGTGATTGAAATGAATTCATCGGACTGTAAACCTGAAGACTTGCATAATGGATTGATGGAGACGTATAAATATGTAATTTGCCTGGAATATGCCCAGGTCGAATAGCTAATTTTGATCCATCAAGCAAAAAATCACCAGGTAAGAGAAACTGACGATGACTCAGTATTGATTGAGCTGCAAGCTTAGATGTACCATGGTAGACAACAATCCATGCATTCCATGGATCGTCGTCACGAAATGGATCCACACCAAGTCCAAAACCAGCCCAGCCTCGAGGTACTACGTAGTCTGCGTCTGCCACTCGTAATTTATCGGGCAGGTCGCGTGAATAGCACGATTGACAATAACAGCGATCATATTCGTTGTTAAAGAATGAAATAGACCATTCCAGACTATTGACATATTCTTTGCATTCAGTGAAATAAGGGCAAGAAATAACTTCTCTTGGACAAGCAGATAGGGCTCCAGGTTGAAGACGTACTGATCCATCGTTAGCATTTAGAGCAAGTGATGATAGGCGTTTTCTTGATTGGTCAAGACTTGATTGGTTTTGATTCTTTTGGCTCTGATTTAACGAAGTGGAAGGAGATATTGTTTTATTTTTTATATCAATGTCTGTTTGGTTCGAAGAATTCGAAAGATTGAACGTAGTATTCATATCTCTTTTGCATTCAAAGCATGTGAGTGAAAGTGTAGTATTTAATGGATTCTTCCAGAAATTGGATTGTTTGCAGTGTGGACAACGCTTATATGCAAAACTCTGTTTGCATGACCAACATGGAACTGCAGTACCTTCAATATAATCGCAATTTTTCCATACTTGGCCTGTATGGCAATGAGGACAACGAATGTACTGATGCATATTAGTACATGAATGACATATAAGTCGTATTCCTTGAATAGATTCCGTCGTAGGATAAAAATTCGACACATAACAGTATATACAGGAAACATATTGATAAGGTTGTTTACATGTAACACAGTTATATACGAGACCTTGTTCGCAATTTGCAGCCGGCCACATATTTACGGCTTGACAATATGGACAACATACAAATTGGAAAGGTTTTGAACAGTTACAGCAATTAGTTAATCTTCCTTCAGCTGATGTGTGAGGATTTGACCAAATATTAGACGAGGAGCAATGAGGACAGAATATTTGCTGCAATCGAGTTGAACACGAAGTACAATTGAAAAATAAACCTTGCTTATATTCATTATTATTCCATGTATTAGTCATTTGGCAAGCTGGACAAACGAGTGTTGTTGTCATTATTAAGTCGAATCTATGCAATAGAAATAATTATTATTTGTACCTTAACTACTAAATGTTCTTCGCCATTCAAATATAGATTCAAAACTTAAACTGAAGTATAATTTGCCAAAGCTCAACAGTTAAACTAATCTACTCTTCTTTGATGCTACTGTATTGGCTTATTAATTCGATTTGAATATTTTCGTAGTTTACGTTCATTATCATTATATTTCAAGATCTTTCTATTCAAGTCTTCCATGTTTCATTGATAAATGTATTTTTTCAAATTTTTCGTATTTTTTTGAGTTATAGATACTGCTGCTTGCTGTTGAAGAAATCATTTCTTTACTTACCTGTTTTATAAGAGTGCAAATAATGTATGTGTATTTGTTATGTGGCGTTAAATAGAAACGAAAAACTACCATGATTTTTGGATGAAATAAGCGTGCATACTCTTGTTTTTTTCCACTTCTTTCAAATAAACGTATATTTTGACTCGTTGCAATTGAAAAGAACTACATTAAAGCATGCCTGTTGTTGACCTTCATCATTGTCGGAAGAACAAGAGCAACAAAAGTCTGCGAATCGCGTAGCTTTCTGTTACTTGAATAATAATATTTTTCTCTCAAATCTTGCTATATATTGTGAATCTTGCTGCCAAAGATGAATATGTTAAAAAAAAACGTAATTTAATCGCCAAATTTTAAACATTCATGGGTTTTCTTACATTATCATGTATGATAGTAGGGCTAGATCACAAAATTGCAACTATGTTGTATTCAATCTTTTGATAATCCAAGAATATACATACAATGAGTTTGTTTTGTAAAAAGAATCGAACCAATGTACGTCATCATTATGTAGCTATCCATGTTTTGAAAAAAGTTCTGAACAGTTGTCCGATAATAATTGACTGTCTCAAATCTAAGCAATTACCTCTAAATTTTGATCATATCGAATTAAAAAAGTTCATGTAACATTGTGAACAAGGGCGACATGAGTAATGAGTCCTAATGTAGATGCATAGAAATTTTTGAAATTTTTATAGTACTTTAAAGTTCTGAGAAATCTGTTGATACTGTGAAGTCCGAAGTTTTTCTTTTATTAGCAATTATCCACAGAAAATCACGGATACCACATTGAGTAGTTCTAGAGTAGTATGCAATAACTGAACACTGTTTCTGAAAACCATGATACATCGTTTTTATTCCTCTCCTGAATGACTGAAAAAAAAAAGTAAGTTTAACATATCGACTCACGAATTTCAAGTTCATTTTCTATTCACATTTTACTGAGAACATCTTACTACATGTTCTAGGACAATATTTAGGGTGTGGATGTGGGCGTGGATGTGAGCATAGGTATAGGTGTTGGGTGAGGGTGTGTTGGTGTGGATGTGGGTAGGGAGTCTGGGCATGGATGTGGCTAGAGAGTATGAGTGTCGATGCGCATCCTCTATTCACCATTACCAATACTCACATCCACAACTGGCACTCTCACTCACATATACAAACATTCACAACCCACATCTACATCCATCCCACAGCCACACGCCCCACCCATACACTACACCTGCATTCATAATCACACCCAAGTCCACACCCAAGTCCACACCCACTCACACTCATACTTTCATCTTAATGTGCGAATTGCCTAAATGTAAAATCTTAAGACTTTTAAGGAAAATTTCACTGTTTGATAATAGTGGATCATACATCTACGTTTAAGAGAGACAAATTAAAGCATACTTAATAGTCAAAAACTTTTAGACAGCCATATAATCTCTTATTAGGATTGGTTCCACAATCGTGTTTTATTTTAGATAATACCAGTCATTTATGATCTGATCGACTAACTCTTAGTCACAAATAACACTCAAGTTCAACTAATAAGTTTAGCTAGGTAAATGCTTATGTAGACGACACTTTCTTTTTTACTATTTTATTTAGCGTGAAATAATATTTTGAAAATGTACGGATAACTATGAAAAAATTAACCAAACCAGAGTTAACAAACATTACAGGAAATTCACCAAATTTAAAGCTTTAGCTTTGACGCAACTCTAGATGTGCATGACATATGAGTGAGTTCAATGATGTTATGAAGTTTGTCACAAAAAAAAACGAAATGACAGAAATACTTCTGATCAGTTTATAGCATTCCACAAATTTCAGCAATATTTCTGTAGTATGTTGTAGCAATTTTTTATAGATGTTATGCAAAGTTTGAAATCATTCCATAATATGTTCTGAAACGTATTAAAATGCGTTTTCAATTATTTCCTATTCGATGAAGTTCTGTTTTAAACTTAAATTTCTCGATATTCATATAGTATGTGTTGCAATCTTTGTTAGTTCTTATGACGAAAATTATTCACTTCCATTAATATTATTTGTCTTGGACGAAATTGAGAAAGATCGTGCAACTCAGCGTAGTTTTCCGAACGGGAAAATTATAAAAGGATCAAGCAAATCATTTTAGACCTTTCGACAAGTCTTTTTCTCCATTATCTTGTTATGTTGCGATACTTTGTATCAAATTTATTCCTGAATAAAGACATGACATGAGAATTTTATTAGTGTGATCTGTACACCAAAATGAAATATAACTTACACGTTATATCTTTACCCAGTAATAAGTTTAATACGAAGTTTCACATCATAACAAGATGAAGAGGGGAAAGATTTTTTTTCGAGAATGTACATCTTACAAAGGAACCTATGCATGAAATTTTTCATATGTTGAATTCCTAAGGACGAGTCAAAGAGACGATTTTAAAATAAGATTGTCAATATAAAACCTGAAGTTGATATACGCTTGCTTTTTATCCATCTATTCAAAACTTGATGTACTACCCAACCCGGTCAGACAAAATTTTTCAAAAACGCGTTTAAACAGTATACTTTTCACGACCGTTTTTGGATGCCACTTGAGGTTCTCAATTGCTACCCAAAAACGTACATCATGAAAACGCAAAAATATTTAACACGCGCTATTTTTACGCCACCAAAACGAAACTTTTTCTAGTCATGTAAACGTATAAAAAAACGCCTCATTCACAACAACCTTTTCGAAACGTTAATGGATCACAATCGGGAACCGGAACTGCGAACCAAATACGTTTCGATAAAACAGGCGTGAAAACGCCCATTTTCTGAACCGAGAAAATGCTCAGCGTTTCAACGCTTATGACACTTACATGTGTACCCGTCTTGATTTTCCACGCGTTTCTCCGTAGCTGTCCGCAACAGTGACTGTCTAACAGCAACCACTAGTCCAAGCTATCACAGAGCGAGCATTACGGCGACCAGGAACGGCCGTTTACAACACCTTATACAGCCCTATACAGCCGTATTTCGATGAACTGTATTATGGCCGTATCCAGCTGTGACGTAAACGGGGTAATACGCCTACCGTTCACGACCGTAATTCCAACCAAACGGCGAACCATGACCGAGGAAGACGACCATTTGCGACAGCGTGCATGGCCGTATTTCGCCGTGCCGTATACGCCATGAACGACCCCACAAAATACAAAAAAAGCAACAGTATCTTTTCCGACAACTTTTGAGCCTTATTGTAAGCATAAGTAACGGTCACGTTCGGGTCGATTATAGAGTTCTTGGGGACGCTCTATCGATTGATGGATATATGTGTGGATCCCCTCCTAGCGCTTCACCGAGAAATAGAATCCTGGACTTGGATTGGTCGATAAAATGGACCAATCAGATTTCACGAGGGCCTTTTCTCGCTTATTATACGGTCATGTGGTACACATGTTCGGGCCAATCCTAGGGTTCTTGGGGGTGCTCTATCGATTGATTGATATATGTGTGGTCGTCTCCTGGCCCTTGAACACGATATAAAATTCGAGGATTCAATCGGTGAAATGAAGTTGAGCAGATACATTGCCTCGGTGGATCTTTCCTCTTTTTTTCGGTTATGTTGGCATCATGCTTTAGTCCAATCGAGCGTTTGTTATGAATGCTGTGAAGCTTCCGTTCGCCGGACTCTTTGAGTTTTTGTGTAACTGGAAGTGGGTGGGTGTATGTTTGGTTTTGAATTGGCTTTTTCTATTTACACATATTCACACCGACACCGGGCCCACACGCACACCCACTCACACCTTAAAAACGCATAATATTTTGCACTTTTAAACACATCAATATTCCATCAGCGTTTAATCTATAGGAATTTATTGATTTAGCGCGTGTAAGCGCACTTAAATAATGCTGATATCATATTTTAAGCGTGCAAACATTTAAACATATAGAGAAATAATCGAAATGAAAATTTTTGTCTTGAACAGGTATAGGGTTTTTCAATTTTTTTGAGTTTTCAAGGTATGTTTCTGCATATAGAAAAAGGAAAAAAAATTGGCAGATTAACACGCTAAAAGATAT